AGCGACCATCTTTCCCTCTGTCTGTCTATCTGTCTGACTTTTTTTTACCTTTCTCTCTCCTTATCTCACTCCCTTCTCTTTCTCTCTTTAGCTATTTCCTCTCTCTTTCTTTCTCCCTCGCGGTGTAAGAATCATCATGTTCGTGAGAGTCTAGCGTGAGGGTGGGAGAGAGAGAGAGACGCATCACACATCGGACACCAGATAAACAGTGACTGATGACAGCAGCCAGGCAGTAATGCAGGATAATGAGTTCTTCATCTCGCTGTGTCTGGCTGACGGTGAGTCGCCCTACTGTCAACCTCTGTTTCTTTTATAACGTCTCAGAGTGGTAGGCTGACAGGTGAGAGGAGGGGGAGGAGGAGGAGGGGGTGATTGGTGCTTTGAAGAAGGGTGAATGGGCAGGAGTTAATGGAGGCTTGACCAGATAAGGGAGTGGACAAGAGGGAGTGTGTCGACAAGGGTATGGGGAGTGTGTCGACAAGGGTATGGGGGTGTGTCGACAAGGGTATGGGGGTGTGTCGACAAGGGTATGGGGGTGTCGACAAGGGTGAAGGAAGGAAGTACATATGTAAAATAAATTTGATGGCGTAGATAGTAAAACATAATTTACTTCCGTAAGTCTAAAGTTAGTGACACATTTCTATTCACAAAGTGGAGGCGTCATTTACTGAATCTCTCTCTCTCTCTCTCTCTCTCTCTCTCGAATATTTTTAAGGTAAATTAACCACAAAGACGCGTCTCGCTTCCTTCAGAAAAACATTACTAATTGCTTCCTGACATGTTGAGATTGCTAGAGTAAATTATATACGAGGGAGGTCGTTGTCCCATGACCACACCAACCCAGACTAAACTTAACATTTACCCCTAAAGAAAAATCCCTGCCATTATATTTCCCTGTCTTCTTCTGTGAATATTCTCCTGTTTTTTGTTTGTTTTTTCCCCATGTGTGATTTTTTGTGTTTGTTAACTTGTATGTGTGTATGTTGTATGTATGAGTGAGTGGGAGAGAGAGTATGTGTACGTAGGTGTGGATGTAGGCAGCTTGAGTCATGAACACAATGTACAGTACAATATAACAACTACACGTGTACAGTAAAGATAACAATGGTCTATTATGATTACGAGTACGACTAGGCAGGGAGGGCACAACGACTAAGGGGGCGGGGGACACATCGACCAAAATGCACAAGCTAGGGATCGATTCAACTACAGGATGGTGTCAAGGAACGCAAGTGAGATTCGTAATATGAGGAAACTTCAGGTGGATGCTGACGAGAAGGCCACCTGGTCGATAGGTGAGCCAGGCAGCCAATGGGAAAGAGGTCCTTGTGATAGTGAGGGAGTGTGAGAGAGAGTGAGGTAGCTTGTGGGAGAGTGAGGAAAAGTTGTCTTAGCTTCAGATATAATGAAGGTGATCCCACTCAGTTTGTTTACGTTATCGTACTCGAGCGAGCAAGTTATCGTTTTTAACAAGTAGAAGATTTTTGTTTGGGAAATTGAATCATCTTCCTGCGGAGGGCCTTATACATCGTTAACAGGGGATTAAGGAGCATAATTGTACAAAAATGAATAATGTAAGTGACTGCCCAAACTTCCTTTTAGTGTTAGATAATGTAAAACGCGCTGGGTTTATCCAATCAAGTGGAGAGTGTTGAGGATCTTAAGCACCCAGGTTCAAGCGGCGCCCCTGGGGAGTATTTTGTGCTCTTATTACATTTACTGCGTCACTCACGATCATCACTGGAGGCTATACACTAAGCGTGGCTGAGGGAGACGGTGGCTGAACGAAAAACAGACAGACAGACAAATTTGACCGTGATTTTCCCTTTATTTGTGTTGAGTTGGGACTAAAAAAAAAAAAACTTCTTCCGGAAAAGACATTATTTTTTTCAGTCATGTCAGGAATGGCAGGTGGAGGTGATTCACAGAGTCCCCAAAATGAACAGAAGTCAGAGAGCCGCGGTAACATAAGTCATATATGCTTTATCTTTCATGTTACGAGGAACAAACAGGTCGGATATCCTGGTAAATATTAGACAGGGTGGTGGTTGTTGTAGGCAGCGGGGATTCCAATTTAACTGAAGCACAGTCACTAGGCTTTTACCGCGTCCTCACAAATACTGTGCCTCGACAAAACCCCCCAAACAAAATCCCACTAGATTAAATAATTTAAATCAAATCCCCATCGTCTCATATCTCTTTGCACCCAAATACACTTTAGGTTAACTAAAGTTGGTATAGGATAGGTGACGTCAGGTTGGATTAGGTTAGTTAGATTGGCTTTCTTTAGGGTAGGTTAAATTAGGTTAGGTGAAGTTAGCTTAAGTTCAGGATAGTTATGTTTAGTTACAGAATATTAGGTTAGGTTAGGTTAGGTTAGGTTAGGTTAAGTTAGGTTAGGTTAGGTTAACCTAAGTTCACCTTAATTGTTGGTGATTACCAGGCACGGTACCTGGATAGAGCTTTCTGTGGTAAAAATAAAAATAGAATGAGGGTGTGTTCGCCAGGAGCTGGGGTGGGGGATATAGTTGACAGGATGGACAATATCTTGTCTGGTAATGGGAACAAACCCATTATCTGCCTCAGTGCAGGAGGCAATGATATTGGCCGGTGTAGGAGTGAGGAGCTCCTTGATAAGTTCAAGACAGCTATAGAACGTATTAGGGTGAAGGAAGGGATCCTTATAATATGTGGTGTCCTGCCTAGAAGTTTATCGTAACAACGATAACTTCACAAAATATGACGGTTGAGGATGATCTGATGACGTGATCTGAGGTTGACGAGTTCCACAACAATTTAAATAATGAGTTACTTAATGCACAAAGGCAGAACATACCATACAGAAAACTCAGATCAAATAACATTGACCCTAAATGGATGAATAATTAAAAAATATTATTGGACAAAAGAAGGCTATAGGTAGGAGAATAAATCGTGGTGAAGTCTACCTCCGAGATTATTATAAGGTATTGGCCACTAGGGTTAAGACCGAGATAAGAAAAGCAAAGAGGAATAATGAAATGAAGGTAGCAAAGGGGACAAAGTCAAACTAAAACACGAGAAAAAATTTACCAATACAGTCAGATACCGGCGAGCTAACTGATAACGACGGAGAAATGAGCAATAATCTGAATAAATATTTTTCAACAGTTTTCACCACCGAAAATTTAAACATGATACCCGAGGCACCGACTCCATACAGAGATAGTGAAGAAAATAAATTAGGCGAGATAGTAGTGACTAGTAATGATGTTAGTAAACAAATAGACAAACTAAAGCCTAATAAGTCACCTGGTCCTGATGAGATATTTGCCAGAGTATTAAAGGAATGTATGGAAGAGCTTAGTATGCCCTTAGCAAAGTTGTTTAACATGTCCTTAAAAACGAGTGTAGTACCAGAATCCTGGAGGATAGCGAATGAAATACCGATTTTCAAGACGGGAGATAGATCATTATCCTCTAACTACCGTCCAATCAGTTTAACATCAATTGCACACAAATTGCTGGAAGCAATAATTTCAAACTCTATTCGAAATCACCTGGAGAAGCACAAGTTGATCAATGATTCCCAACATGGCTTCACAAGCGGGCGTTCATGTCTAACTAATCTATTAACATTCATTTCAGCTGTTTCGAATCAGTGGACGATGGGGAAGATTGTGATGTGGTATATCTCGACTTTCGCAAAGCCTTCGACAGAGTCCCCCACGAAAGACTAATACGAAAAGTGGAGGAGATATTCTAAAATAGATTAGGGCGTAGTTACAAAACTGGAAATAGCTAGTAAGCATTAACGGCACTAAATCCGATTGGAGTAACGTCACTAGTGGAGTACCCCAAGGCTCAGTACTTGGACCATAATTATATATTATATGCATAAGCGACATACATATCGGTGTAGAGAGCAACATAAGTAAATTTGCTGACGACACTAAAATAGGGCGTGTAATTAAATCTGACATGGACTCTGCAAAACTATAGAAAGATCTAAAAAAAAAAAATTCGAATGGTCTGAAAAATGGCAGATGAAATTCAATGTAGACAAATGTACTTAGTCTAGGAGATGTAAACAGAGAAACCAGATACCAGATGAACAACGACGTTATAGAGAAATATGACTGAGAAAGATTTAGGAGTAATGATGAGTAGAAATCTTACACCAAGTAAGCAATGTGTATTTGCTCGAAACAAGGGCAACAAAGTACTTGGGTTCATACAAAGGATGTTAGTTACAAGACGAGCGAGGTCATCCTAAAACTATATCTTGCGCTTGTGAGATCTCACTTGGATTACGCAGTTCAATTCTGGTCACTTTATTACAGAATGGATATAGAATCCCTAGAAAGAATTCAGAGGAGAATGACAAGACTATCCCGGGCATTAGGATCCTTGAGTACAGTGACAGGTTAAAACATCTTAATTTGCACTCCCTCGAGAGACGTAGAGTGAGGGGCGATATGATAGAGGTGTATAAATGGAAGTCAAGGCGAAACAAAGGTGATATAACAAAGGTACTCAAACTATCCAACCAGGAGCGAACTCGTAACAATGGATTTAAATTAGACAAATTTAGATTTTGGGGCGAAATAGGTAAACACTGGTTTGGAAATAGAGTAGTGGATGAGTGGAACAAGTTACCAAATATCATCATTAACTCGAATACGCTGGATAGCTTCACACATAGGTTGGATGGATATATGAGCAATAGGGGTTGGGTGTTAGCGAGGACTGTTATTTAAGATACAACTTACGTATTACGCCCCCTTCAGCTCCTTCACATGATGATGCACTCAGAATCATTTTCCCGCCTCACCCCAGTGGCAGGTTTGGGCCAGACACATGCACATTCGGTCTGTAAATTGGTCTTTAGGACGTGTTTGTGTAATTATCAGGCATTGAAACACCTGAGCTGTCTCCACTCCTGTTCCGGGAGATGTTAGCGCCCGAGAGTGTGAGAGTGAGAATGAGGAGTGAAAGTGATGGAGTGGGAGAGGACTTACCTGGTTGTTGCAGTGCTGCTGGTGGAAGGGGAGGCAGGTGCGTGTCATCCATATACATGTCTCTGGATTGTGTGTCCTCGAGGTATGGGTCCTCAGGCTGCATGTCCCCGAGGTGCATGTTCCCGAGGTGCATGTTCCCGAGGTGCGTGTCCCCGAGGTGCGTGTCCCCGAGGTGCGTGTCTCGGGCAATAGCTGGCGTCATAGAGGTAGACTGACCCACTATTAACGGCCTGCTGGTGACAATTATGTGTGTACAGTGGCGACACGACACTTAACCTAGATAGTTTATCAATAAGAGATCAGAAAGGAGTATTTTCCTGCTCTGATTGTCACTTTCTCACTTTTGAATTTTCAATTGTGTCTTTGTATTTTATTTCCACTTTGCCTTCTTGCCGTATCAGTAGTTCTCCAAGGAGGTGTAATCTTTCTCTATGATTGTCAGCTTTAAAGTTTCCAAAAATACGAACTAGGAGTATTTTCCTGCTCTGATTGTCACTTTCTCACTTTTGAATTTTCAATTGTGTCTTTGTATTTTATTTCCACTTTGCCTTCTTGCCGTATCAGTAGTTCTCCAAGGAGGTGTAATCTTTCTCTATGATTGTCAGCTTTAAAGTTTCCAAAAATACGAACTAGCAGATTCTCGCGTGTTACGACTCATTTCTCCTTCTAGGAATTAAGATGAAGACGCGGGGCCGTGATTTTTCTCAAGACGGTGCTGTAGTTTCTTCTTATCTTTTCCCAGGATGTCCTCCGATGTGGATGTTTCCTAAGCTTGTCCGTGTTGTTGTGGTGTACACAAGGTAACCTCTGGACGTGTCTCGGAACACTATTCGTGATTAATTCATTGTATTTACTGTACTGCCGTGATTCATGTATTATCGTTTCCTTGACGTCTATGTTCTCTGAACTTTGATTCTGTTTGAAGAATATTCTATTCTATACAAACAATTCGGTAAAATGCTTTTCGCACAAATTAGCTGCTGAAGTTTTTCAGAGATCGAATGTATCACTGACTTCAATATCTTCAGATATACCGCAGCTTCAGTTGTCTTGAGAGATGAAAACGTAAAAACGTTCAAAATTTCAACGAACTTATCAAAGAGTTATTTATTTACTTTTTGTGTGGGTAGTTTTGTACACTAATTATTAAGACCTGACGAGCTCTGGTGACGAGAGAAACTTTAAGACAATACGAACTTCAGGATTTCAGGAACTTAAGTTATTGAAACTTCAAGATTTAAAATATTACAGAAGTTCTCAAATTCTGCTTCCTTTGAAAATGTCCAGACATGAGAAGTGAGGGAATAGCTTTGAGAATATTCGAACTTCAGACTTTTTCAGGGCATCAGAAATATCAAAGCTCCAGGAACATGAACCATTCGGGAAAACTTCAGAAACTTCAAGACATCAGAAAGTTCAGCAGCAGAGAAGTTTCAAGACATTAGGCTCCTCAGGGGTTCAGGGTCTGAGCATCATGAACCCTTCAGGAGAGTGGGAGAGTGAGGTAAACATACCATATATGAGTGGTGGTAAACTCAACTCCGGTCTGTTCAAGTAACATCCTCAACACCCAGACTAACCTATGTAGCGGTTGTCACTGTGTTACGTCTTTAACTAATCACACAAACACTGTAGTTCATCTTTAGAACTGACTTGGTATTCGTCTGGAAGGTTCAATTTATTTAAGTCGAGTAGAATTTTTTGGGAGAAGGCTCGAAGGAAATATTAGCTGTTGTGGGGAGTTTTTTCGGATTCTGGTAAATTTTGACGATTTTAGGAGATTCCTCTCGATCCAAAGAAGTTATACAGATTAATCTTGAAGAATCAGATGAACTTTTATCTCTGTCAAGTTTTAGCTCAACAAACGAAGCAGGAGATGGCTAAAGGAATCCTTGTGGTCTAGAGAAGCTTCAGCTTATTGAGAGATCTTAATTGAGGTAAACAAGCTGTAGAAGACCATGCGAGGCTTAAGCTGACTCAAAGAGGCTTAGATGATCTTGGAGGATTCGTGTGACGAGGACGCCAGAGCCAGCAACTGTGGGAGAAAAAAACACATATTATTCCTTATTGCACACATGATGAAGTCTGTAATGTACACACACACACACACACACACACACACACACACACACACACACACACACACACACACACACTATCTACGAAACATTATCCAGATACTTCCCTAAGACCAGAAAGATCACTAATCTATACTGAATGTATATATATGGAGTCAGAGTATAGACGAAGGTAACACCCGAACCTTCCCCATTAAGTGATTAAAGTATCGCCTGGAAACACTTCGGTACATATACAGAAATAACTAACGTATCTAAATCAAACACCGTTTTATAATTAATGATTCATATGACTCCTAGTGACTGAATCTTATAATCGTCCTATGAATACTTGTGAAATTTACCTGTTTATTAGATAACTGGTAATGAGTTTTACTGGTACCTGTTGGTTAGAGATTTACGTAAGATTTTGTGTATAAATGATAGAAGATTAAGTGGTCTGTGGTTATGTTTGGCCCACAGGGGAAGACTTGATGCTTTGACGTGTTTCCTCTTATATACAGATCTGCTCAGTACCTCAGTTTAGTACACCCAGATAACTTTTATATTGTGTTTCTTGTAAGCGTTTTATGGAAGTCAAACAACTCATATTTAGATAATATAAATAGTGACACAATTTTATGTTCCTATTAACTCGAAAACAATACACAATTTGGGGTAGTGGACTATCATAGCCCCAAATAGCTCATGTGGGACTGAATGGGGGCTACCTGTTGTTATTACTTACTAGTATCGGGTTTTGAATTTGCCAAGTCTTATTTGTTGTCATATTTGAAAACGAGAATACCAACAACATACCTCCAATAATATGTTGCCATTTTTGGTTAAATGTAATTTGTAAATAGTTATCTCCCTTCTTATAGTAGTAAAGTGAATATCTTCCTCTGGTGTTCTCTCTTCCTTCCTTCTCTGCTCTACCATCTCCCGATCCTTCCTCCTTCTTTAACCATAAATCCCCACTCTGTGTTCTGTAGTGACCTTCCCTCCCCCCCACACCAGTAAACATTCACAGCTAGCGAATTATGAACACACAGTAGCAACCATGAACTGGGAGCTGTGAGGAACATGGGTGAAAGTGGGTGTTGGAAGGTGTGGTTTTAGGCAGGAGAGGAGTGTGTTAAAGGAACGGGAGGACGGGTAATGGGAGTGAGGGGGGCGTTGTAAGGCGTGGGCGGGGGGCAGTGGAGGGGCTGTGGGGGCTTTGTGAGGCGTGGGCGGGGGGCAGTGGAGGGCTGTGGGGGGCTTTGTGGGAGGCGTGGGCGGGGGGCAGTGGGGGCCTGTGAGGGGCGTGGGCGGGTGGAAAAGGCATTGGAGGCGGCAGGGGTGGCAGTGGGGGCGTGGGCGGGATAGCAGTGGGGGCGTGGGCGGGGGTTGGGGGCAGTGCGGGTGGAGTGGGCTGACGTCAATAGCAGTGCAGGCAGCAAACCAGGTCATGGGACCAACACTCTCCCTCCTCTCCCTCACTCACACACACTCCTCCACTCTTCCCTCCTCTCCCTCCTCTCACACACTCACTCCTTTCTCCCTCCTCTCCCTCCTCTCCTCACTCTCACACACCTCCTCCCTCTCCCTCCTCTCCCTCACTCTCCTTCCACCTCCCCACACTCTCTCACACCTCTCCCTCACTCTCCCTCACTCTCACACACACTCCCCTCACTCTCACACACCTCCCTCACTCTCCCTCACTCTCACACCTCTCCCTCACTCCCCTCTCCCCTCCTCTCCCCACATACTCCTCCCCTCACTCTCACTCCACACTCCCCTCACTCTCACACACACTCCCTCACTCTCACCACCTCTCCCTCCTCCCCCCTCTCCCTCCTCTCCCCACACACTCCCCTCACTCTCACCTCTCCCTCACTCTCACACTCTCCCTCCTCTCCCACACTCTCCTCACTCTCCCCCCTCCCTCACTCTCACACTCTCCCTCCCTCTCTAAACTCTCCCTCACTTTGCCTTTCTCCCTCACTCACACACACTCTCCCTCACTCTCACAGACTCTCCCTCACTCTCACACACTCTCCCTCACTCTCACACACTCTCCCTCACTCTCACACACACTCCCTCACCACCACACTCTTGCGTACTGTTTTCTCTCCCACACTACCATACTATTAACCACACTACCATATATTAACCACACTACCATACTATTAACCACACTACCATTCAATTAACCACACTACCATACTATTAACCCCACTAACCATACTATTAACCACACTACCATTCTATTAACCACACTACCATTCAATTAACCACACTACCATTCAATTAACCACACTACCATTCTATTAACCACACTACCATACTATTAACCACACTACCATTCAATTAACCACACTAACATACGATTAAACACTACCATACTATTAACCACACATTTAAATTATAACGTAAACTGTACCCAATAAATGAATGAGAAAATGATTCCCACTAAACCCAGATACTCAATCAGTCAGGTCAGTCAGGTGTGTCTCTCCATTGTGGAAAAACATTATGCATGAACCTTTAAGAACTTGTAATGAAGCCAAACACACGATTCTCTGAGATTACGAGACATTCTTCAATAGAGCTTGAGAGCCATAGACTGTTTATGACTCCTGACTCTTTATCAACAGTGGGAGGTGCGGCTGGTCGACCTCAGGGAAGGTACAATACACCCTGGTCATTATTACTACAGTGGGAGGTGCGGCTGGTCGACCTCAGGGAAGGTACAATACACCCTGGTCATTAATACTACAGTGGGAGGTGCGGCTGGTCGACCTCAGGGAAGATACAATACACCCTGGTCATTATTACTACAGTGGGAGGTGCGGCTGGTCGACCTCAGGGAAGGTACAATACACCCTGGTCATTATTACTACAGTGGGAGGTGCGGCTGGTCGACCTAAGGGAAGATACAATTCACCCTGGCGATAATTTTGAGGTTAACCCTTAATTTGGGGAGGAATTACCCTCACGAAACAGATTATCTTACGTGAAATAGGAAGGTTAAGTCAAGTGTGTGTGTGTGTGTGTGTGGTGATTCAATCTATTGTGCTGTGTGAGTGTGTTATGGTGACATTTTATGGTAGTGTATGGTGATGTGGTGGTGTTGGTGGTGTGAAGTGTTATGGTGACATGCTATGGTGGAGTGTTGGTGGTGGTATATGGTGGAAGGTATTATGGTGAAGCGTGTTGGTAGAAGGGGTATGTTACAGGTGATTAATGTTGCGGGTGACATGCTATAGTGGGAGTGGTTATGGTGAATGAGTTAATATGGAGCAAAAGTTATGGTGGAGTGTGTTATGGGTGCAGTGTAAGGTGGTGCAGTGTGTTATGGTGCAGTGTGTTGGTGGTGGGCATTTATGGTGGAGATTGTTATGCAGGATGATGGTGTGTTGGTAGATGATAATAGGTGGTGGTGATGGTAGGATCAGGTGGTGTTGATGGTGGTGATGGTAACGATGATGGTGGTGGATGGTAATGATGATGGTGGTGGTGGTGATGGTGGTGGTGATGATGGTGGTGATGGTGGTAATGTAGATAATGATGATGGTGGTGGTGTTGATGGTGGTGATGATGGTGATGGTAATGATGATGGTGGTGGTGGTGGTGATGATGGTGGTGGTGATGATGGTGGTAATGATGATGGTGGCGGTGGTGGTGATGGTGATGATGATGATGATGGTGACGGTGGTGGTGATTGTGGTGGTGTTGATGGTGGTAATTGAAACTTGAATTAAATTTTGCCACGTACAACGGTTAGTTTATTGTGCACCCCATACTCAACCTGTGAGCAGTAGCACAAAGAGATCACAGAGTAGAGTTTACAAAGGGTCAGCATAACTAACCCCCCTGGTCAGGATATTATGGCAGTGAATGTTACACAGTATTTCAATTGTTTGGTTAGTTCTGTAGATGGGGGTGACTCAAGTATATTGTGTGTTTGGTTTTACACATGAGACTGACTTAGTACATAGTGCAAAGAAGTGGATACAATTTTTTTTATGTCAGATATATTGCCATTAAAGTGCTGTGCCATTTCACAAACACGGTGCTATCTTTTGACAGTCAAGGACGTAGTGACACACACACACACACACACACACACACACACACACACACACACATACACACACACACACACCAGATATTTCTTTCCTCCCAAAAACCAAAAAATTAAACAAAACGCAGAACTTGTTGTTAGAAAATCTCACAGCTAAAATAAGTCAAATAAAAAACTATGTTCCTTAAAACTACAATATAAAGAAAAGTCGTATTTTTCAATTACTGTATTACAAGTAAATGCTATAACAAAAATGGTTGAAAAAGGATAAAGAAATAATGATCATTTGCATAAGTTTAGCGACACGGAGACATTTCTATCAAGGTATTATTATTGTATTGTTAACATGAAAGGCAGTCATTCAGGGCGATTTACTCCCTAATACGACTTTTAAGTTAGGTTAGGTCAGGTTAGTGGAGCTTTATATCAAGACAAAGTTCGTGGGCCTTTACTGGTAACTGTATTTTACTGTCCGTCGAGTCTCATGCATTGAAGACATCATTTTGGTCCACTTGTCTATTTCTAAACTGAGGTAAGCCACTCCGATGCGTCCTCACAAATTACTAAGAGAATATCCAGGGTTTGGTACCGTGGCCAATAAGAGCCTAGTAAATTATTAAAATATCGTCGTTCGATTTTTTTCTTCATATTGTATAGATTATATGACACACGGCCATCATTACAGCGTCGTCTTCATGATATTTGCATCATTTTTCAATATTAAATGTTTCTTGCTTCGTAGTTGATGTTAATGTCATCTACATTTATAAATATATGTCTATTATCACGTATATTTGATTCTTTAACGCCACTTTTAATGTTTTATTCGAACAATACCAAACGATTTTATAAACTCATATGGGACCTCAGTTTACAAGGTGTTAGTATCTCGTTTGACTTGAAGGT